CGTTTGTTTTTTTGGGGGGGGATCCCCACTCTGGTTGCTAAGCTTGCTTAAACCCTCTTCCACCTCCTCACCGGAGCCCCCCTTTGTCTGCAACCAGCCCCTGCCCCGGCCTCGCCTTGCCCCATGGCAATGGCACCCCTGCCCTGCCCCCTCCCTCCCTCGCCTCACCCTGCAGGATGAGCCTCTTGCCCACTGCCCCACCCGTCAGAGAACCCCTGGATCTTCCCCAACCCTGCCCAGCCCCCACAGGGATCCCTCCCCAGGAGCAACATCGAGGTGGCCACGCCCACCCATGCTGCCATGACTACCATAGCCATGCTCTCTCAGCGGGCCACGCCCACCCGGCGATGCATAAGTGGGTTTTGGGTTGCAGTTTGGGCACTCGGTCTCTAAAAGGTTCGCAATCACTGGTATAGAGTAACAAAAAAAAGATTTTAAAATACTTATAGAAGTAATTCTAGCACCTGAGCTCAGGCAGTAGCCGATTGCAACAAAAGCAAAAACTGTTGCCGGCTCAGCTCTTGTTTGGCCATGTGACCAGGGACAAGAACAACCCAGGCAAGTCACAGAAATAAAAATGGCCGCCACTGCAGTAGAGACTGAAATCAAGTCACATGGCTACAAAGGCCTCTTTTTGGTTACAGTTTTGAATTTCTAATGTAAGTACCCTTTCTGAATTAATTTGTTTTTGTGAAAACTTGCTAAATAAACGCTTGTACCTGGGGGATTACCTGTATGTAGGACAAACAGGCAGAAGACTGGCAGAATACATCCATGAACACCAACTGGCAGTCAGAAGGCATGCTGAAAATTCTTTAATTTCACAACATATATAGACAGATTTAACCATAGTTTCAATTGGGAAAATGTGACAATCCTAGACCAGGCCAAATCCAAAAATGCCAGGGAATTTCTAGAAGCCTGGCACTCTGACAAATCAGCCATCAATAGACATAGACATTAACAACATTTATAGACTATGCAAAAGATACAACAACAACAATAATAAAGTTGGAAGGGACCTTGGAGGTCATCTAGTCCAACCCCCTGCTCAGGCAGGAAACCCTATACCATTTCAGACAAATGGCTGTCGAATCTCTTCTTAAAGACTTCCAGTGTTGGAGCATTCACCGCTTCTGGAGGCAGGTTGTTCCACTGGTTAATTGTTCTAACTGTCAGGAAGTTTCTCCTTAGTTCTAGGTTGCTTCTCTCTTTAGTTAGTTTCCATCCATTGCTTCTTGTCTTGCCTTGAGGTGCTTTGGAGAATAGCTTGACTCCCTATTCTTTGTGGCAACCCCTGAGATATTGGAATACTGCTATCATGTCCCCCCTTGTTCTTCTCTTCATTAAACTAGACATACCCAATTCCAGCAACTGTTCCTTGTACGTTTTAGCCTCCAGTCCCCTAATCATCTTTGTTGCTCTTCTTTGTACTCTTTCTAGAGTCTCAACATCTTTTTTACATCGTGGTGAACAAAACTGGATGTAGTATTCCAAGTGTGGCCTTACCAAGGCATTGTAAAGTGGCATTAATACTTCACGTGATCTTGATTCTATCCCTCTGTTAATGCAGCCCAGCACTGTGTTGGCTTTTTTGGCAGCTGCAGCACACTGCTGGCTCATATTTAAGTGATTGTCCACTAGGACTCCGAGATCCCTCTCACAGTTACTACTATTGAGCAAGGTACCTCCTAAACTATACCTGTGCATTTGGTTTTTCTTGCCTAAATGTAGAACCTTACTTTTTTCACTGTTGAATTTCATTTTGTTAGATAGTGCCCAGTGTTCAAGTCTGTCCAGATCCTCCTGTATCTTAAGCCTGTCTTCTGGAGTGTTGGCTATTCCTGCCAGCTTGGTGTCGTCTGCAAATTTGATGAGTTCCCCATCTATCCCCTCGTCCAAATCGTTGATGAAGATTTTGAAGAGCACTGGGCCCAGAACAGAGCCCTGGGGCACCCCACTACACACTTCCATGTAGATGCGATTCCATTGAGGACCACACGCTGAGTACGGCCGGTCTGGTGGTGATGCTGTCTAACCCACATTTTTCTATCTTATCGAGTAGTAGGTTGTGATCTACTTTATCAAATGCCTTACTGAAGTCCAAGTAAATTATATCCACAGCATTCCTCTGGTCCACTAATTTTGTCACTTGGTCAAAGAATGCAATAAGATTTGTCTGGCATGATCTGTTTTTGAGAAACCCATGTTGGCTTTTAGTAATGACTTTTTTTGCCTCTACGTGTTCGCTGATTCGTTGTTTGATTATCTTTTCCAGAATCTTCCCAGGTATTGAGGTCAGGCTGATAGGTCTGTAATTTCCTGAATCCATTTTTTTCCCTTTTTTGAAGATGGGAACTACATCAGCTCTTTTCCAGTCCTCTGGTAGTTCCCCAGTGCTCCAGGATCTTTGAAAAATATAGTTCAGTGGTTCTGAGATCACATCTGCCAATTCCTTGAGAACCTTGGGGTGTAATCCATCTGGTCCTGGTGATTTGAACTCATCTAGGCTGGACAGGTGCTCACTTACCATTTTCTTGCCTATCTTAACTTGTGTTTCTATTCTGTTTTTTATGGCACTATTTTTGATAGGTTGGTCTGTTTCTTCCCTTTGTGTAAAGACAGATGGAAAAAACGAATTAAATAGTTCTGCTTTCTCCCTGTTGCTTGTCACCTTCTTGCCACTTTCACCCACTAATGGACCAATCATTTCCTTAACTTTTGTCTTGTTTTTTACATGTTGAAAGAAGCTTTTTTTGTTATTTTTGACTTTGGTCGCAAGCCTTAGTTCATTTTGAGCCTTAGCTTTCCTCACTTCATCTTTGCAGGCTCGGGCTATTTGCTGATATTCTGACTTAGTTATGTGCCCTCTTTCCACTTTCTATACTTGTCCTTTTTATCTTTCAATTGATCAGAGAGTTCTTTATGCAGCCATGCTGGTTTCTTTTGAGAGCTGTTATTTTTCTTCTTTGTTGGTATTGTGCTAGACTGGGCTTTTATTATCTCACTTTTCAAAATTTCCCAAGCTTCTTGAGTTGTTTTCCCCTTGAGGATTGTCATCCATGGAATCCTTCCCAAGCTCTAAGTTTATTGAAATTAGCTCTCTTGAAGTCCAAGACTCTAGTTTGACTGTGTTCTATTGCTTGTGCTTGCATAATGTTGAATTCCAATACTGCATGATCACTCCCCCCCAAGGTTCCTGTGGCTTCAACACCTTCTATCATTTCATCCCTGTTAGTGAGAATTAAGTCCAATATGGCTAATCCCCTAGTTCCCTTCTCTACTTTTTGGGAGACAAAGTTGTCTGCAAGGTTTGTCAGGAATGTTTGATCTTCCACTTGGTGCAGAGTTTGTCTCCCAGTTGATGTCAGGGTAATTAAAGTCCCCCATCACTATTGTGATGTACTTCCTACATACCTTAGTTAACTGACTAGCAAAAAGTTCCTCTATTTCCTCTGTTTGGTTGGGTGGCCTATAGTATACACCTATGGCAATGTCATTTTTGTCCCCTTTTATATTGACCCAAATGCATTCAAGACAGTTTTCATCATTGATTTGCTCTAATTCTGTAGAGATGTAGTTATTTCCTATATAGAGAGCAACTCCACCTCCTCTTTTATTTGGTCTGTTTCTTTTAAATAATTTAAATCCCTCTAGCTGTGTGTTCCATTTGTGGGTTGCATCCCACCAAGATTCTGTAATGGCAACAATATCATATCTGCCCTCATTTACCTGAATTTCTAATTCACCCTGTTTATTGCTCATGCTCTGTGCGTTGGTGTATAGACATTTGAGTCCTTTTTGATTGACCCTGTGTTTACTTTCTATATAACCTGTGTGATGCCTCAGTTCCCCAATCAACCAGCCCCAAAGAGAAAAGACTCCATTACCTCCCCACCAGTAATCAGCACTCAGATCAGCATTGATTAGCTCCAAGGTCACCTTCAGACCAACAATCAAGTAAGAAATACCCCAATCAAGGAACTGCCAAAGAGCCATTAGTAAACAGCCTAACCAAAGAATCCCTAAGACCACCCCCACGCACACAGACAGGCAAGACACCAGAATATAAACTGACAGCAAACAGCATTCCTTACTAGCACTGATAATAATAATAATAATAATAATAATAATAATAATATTAATAATAATAATAATAATAATAATAATAATAATAATAATAATAATAATAATAATAATAATAATAATAATAATAATAAAGTTGGAAGGGACCATTGAATTTCATTTTGTTAGATAGCGCCCAGTGTTCAAGTCTGTCCAGATCCTCCTGTATCCTAAGCCTGTCTTCTGGAGTGTTGGCTATTCCTGCCAGCTTGGTGTCATCTGCAAATTTGATGATTTCCCCATCTATCCCCTCATCCAAATCATTGATGAAGATGTTGAAGAGCACTGGGCCCAGAACAGAGCCCTGGGGCACCCCACTACACACTTCCCTCCATGTAGATGTGGTTCCATTGAGGACCACACGCTGAGTACGGCCGGTCAGCCAGCTACCGATCCATCTGGTGGTGATGCTGTCTAACCCACATTTTTCTATGTTATCAAGTAGTAGGTTGTGATCTACTTTATCAAATGCCTTACTGAAGTCAAATGCCTTACTGATGTTACCTAGTTAGGGTAATGAAACGTCTGCAAGAAAACAAGCTCAGAGAGCACCAATGACTCCTCAAATATGAAACATTTGTAGGCTGTGGTCACAAAATCTAAGTTTGTGATGAATATAGCTGCTTTTGCATAGGCTTTAGACATAAGCAGTTGAAATATAACACTTAGAAGCCAGGAACAAAAATTGTGTTACATAGAGTTATATGCCATCAATCAGTGTCAACTCTCAGCGATTACTTAGATTTTCTCCATGATAATTTGTTTCCATTGACATAAACATTAAATGATATCACTAACATCTTGCCTACATTTATATTAGATATATTCTATGCCTAGAAATTCAAATATGGGATTTTGAATTTACAACTACTTACCCTTAATAAATCATCTATTCTGCCTTCTTTTTTCTCCAGATCAGAGTTCTTACTGTTTTCTAGTGCAGATAATTTCTCCATTGTAAGATCAGACTTGAGAGGGAAAAAAGAGTTTTTAAGAAATGATCTACAAAGTAGTCAAATATGTTATGAACACAAAAGCTAGCATATAGTTCCGTTGTGTGAAACAACACAATCAAGGAGTGGAATGTCTTACAATTAACCAGGAGGATTATTTTTAAACGAAGTCAAAACATCTGATGAAAAGTATAACTAAGCTTGGTCTTCTCAACTTTGTAAAAAAAAAAAGCCTTATCTGGTCTACTAGAAAGAAATGGGTTGAATTTCCCCACAATTATTTAATGCCACTGCTCCAAGCACTGAATGAATAATGAAGCTGGCAAAACTATTTCCGCAGGCATTATGTTTTTGATTCCCACAAACTCACTTGTGAAAAAAGGGAATTAAATAATTATCTCCCAGAAGATTCAGTCCGTATAAGAGGGGTGCCACAGATGTTTAAAAAAATAAAATAAAAATGGAACTATCACTCAGTGTCTACAATTTGCCTCTGAACATGGTCTTCAGTTTCCCTATGCATTTAAATAAGAGCACGTTGGAGTTGAAGTAGAGAAGGCCCATGTTTGATAGGAAAAAGCTGAGGTACAAGCATCACCATCTTGATATCTCGGGTTCATAATGTCTGTCTGTCTGTCTGTCTGTCTATCCCATTACACTTGCATGCCTCTGGGTGGTTTACAGATAAAACAGTATCCCTTGAAAACTTGGCAAGCTGATAAAATTGTGAAAGACTTGATCACTTCAATCCAATTAGAAGCCCTACTGGTGGCAGTTATGAGCCAGCATGTCTAGGCTACAGTACTACAAGATCACTGATAATATTCTTTACCAAGCTAACCCAAATGTAGGCTGAACTGGGATTTGAATCTTCATTTTTGTACACATGGCAATGAGTACTAGCACATGAAGTTCTGCTCTTTTCTGGTGGAGTGGCTGAGGTGAGCTCACAATTAACCTGTCCCAAAAGAGCAACATTAGTGTTCACTGGAATAGTGACAGAGGGATATACTTTAGACATTTGGGGATTTGAATACTTCCAAATAGCCAGATGCCTCAGACAGAGGAAAAAAGAAATAGGAGGTTTAAAGAAACAAAGCTAACATTAAAAACAAACAAATGAACAATCTAAAGAAAAGAGCAGAGGAAGAACAAAGTCTTATACAAGTTCTAGCCTTGGGAAAAGACAAAAAACTAAACAATATGTAATAGACCCAGGCTTTCACTTACAAAAGCAAGTAATTTTTAAATATTCTGAAAATAGTTAGCTTGGTTTCCTAAAACACATTGCCCTCTGACTGAAAAATGTGCCTTGCATCTCCTCAGCTACATAAGGCTATAATGGAGCCTTACATGAATTGGAATTTAAATTTATAATTTAAAGCAATCAACAGCAAAAAACAAAAGTGAAGTGAAGGAACTTCCTGGGTTCCTTGAATTTTAAAAGATGTTCAATGTTTGTCCTGATCCAGGCGTTCTTAGCAAAAATGAATAATTAAAAAAACTGAGAAGCCTAAGTAGAAATACATCATGCATACTAAAGAATGAGAAAATCTTTAGGCCAAAATTGAACTGAATATCCATTTTACAAAGGGGAAAAATCAGGACTAACAATATTTTCATTGCTAAAGAAAAACAAAAGATTATATTTATTGCTTAAAGGGCAGAAGCTGCTGATTACAGAATAAGATAGAAGTTGGAAGGTTGAGGCAGGAACAACATCAAAAATATTCTGGAATTTGTTATCCAATGGAGACTATTTTACTTCAACAATGCCCCCTAAAGCTAAGCATTCTTGGAAGAAATGATCAATTACTAAGTTTGAAGTTTCTTCTGGCAGTGTTATGTCCTTACATCATAAGCTTTCATTTCTTTCTCTAGTAAAAGGGAAAAGATTTTCATGATCTGAAGAGAAACCAGAATATACTTCCATTTCTTTATCAAATGGACAATATATTTGATTTTAGTAAGATCAAATTTTGCACTATGTTATTTATTTTATGTACCTGTGTCTGTTTGTGCTGGATGGAAATCTGTTTTTGAGAGGTGCAGGAATGCTCTGTGTTCCCTGAAACTGCTGATGAAGGACTGACTTGCGGGGCCTGTAATAAGAAGAGATGTAGCATATAATCTGTAGGTACAGTATTTTACAAAACACATTCTTCCCCACTGTTACTTGAAAGAAAAGGCTTTAAGCTAACTAGCTGAATTTGGTCAACCTTAAAAGGTTGTTTTATACCCAATTCTTTACTAGTTCTACACCCAAAGGTAATCCGTTAAAAGAGGCCAGGAATAACATTTTAAGCTGTGTAAACACAAGATTCATGCCACGTTTGTCTGCTCATACAGATAATGTAAACTGCCTTAGTTATTGTTTTCATAGAAAGAGTTTGAAGACTTTTTTGAAAGGATTTTTTTTAAAGTTTGACGAAGTGCTGGGTTCTGGGACAATGACTTGAATAAGTAACCTCTAGAAATTAAATTTGTTCTTGAAGGTGAAGGTCCCTTTTCCTTGAATGTATATCAAGATGGAATTTGAGGAAGCACTGCAGAAAAGTGAATGGATGATTCATAAGGTATAAACTTTTTGAGGTGAGAAATGGTTGGCTTCTAAATTCTAATAGCCCCAAATTAACATTCCACACTTTTATCAAAACAATTTTGTTTCACCTTCCAAACATCTACCTCAAGAAAGGCTAATTCCAAAATAATTCTATGTTGTGGGATTATTATTTTTTTTGCTATTATGCTGTTATGAACTGTAGCAACCAAGAACCAAAACTTTAATAAAATAGATTCTACTGTAGCAGTGGGAAGCTACATTCTGTCTAACCATACAAGATCCATTCCATCTCCCTTGAGTTTTGTCATTAAGACCTTGCTCACCGAAGCAAATGGAAAACAGAGGCTTGTACCCCTCTGGACCAGCTGCTCGCCCTCTAGCCGCTGTTTTGCTATCATCACCGATACCAGTGTTGGGAGAGCAGTATGCTCCTCTGACACTTCCTTGGCTGCATTGCTGTCTACCCCATAAAGCGGCTGCTCCATTCGCCGCTGTAACACATTAAAGAAAATCATTAGAAAAAAAGGTTGTGTGGACAAAAAAGTTATAAAACTGAGTGATGCAGCAGCTTGGACACAAAGCTAGCAAAATGTTTTTGCAGGGAGGATATATCTAACAAAAGCAACCCCAGTGCTTCTAGAGTATACTGTATATTTAAAAACAAATGAAAAGATCAGCATTGAGTTCCTTCTATTTTGTAATATAATATAAACTTTAGTGTTACATGCTTGGAAAGCAAAAGCCTGGGTTCATTTGATACCTTGCAGCTGCATGAGTAAAATACTGTACACTTCTTAATTTCTGCAGCCCCAGGGGTCCCCAAGAATTATATTAACAAAACCTGATGGCAAATGACCTATTGCTGTGTGATTTTGTTTTATAGTAAACCAAAATGAAATAAAAAACACAAGTGCCTTAAAACTGCAGAAGGCCCAATAACAGTGAATCAAAACTCCCAAATCACTGTGTCATGGTTCCGATAGATGAGACCAGTAGAAATAAGAACTCCAAGGCAATTGCTTTCCTCAAAGAACACATTTAATGGCTACATAATATCTGCACGAACAAAGGTGAAACCAAGACTGAAAGTTCCCCCCCCCCAAGGTTACAAAGTAACAAGTTGAACTCCCCACAAATGGAGCTTAGATGAAACAAAGATACTGTAATGCACCAGCTAGGCACGGACAGTGACAATGATCTGGATTTTGAAGTGTGTATGTCTGGTGAGCCCCATCTCATAACACAAGGCAGAATTAAATGACTTGATCAAGGACTTAGGTTTGTCAAAATCAAATCTACTGGGTTCAAGACTGCAAGGATGGTGTCTGCTATCACCAGGTATGAAAATTTCTGTATTTCGAAGCTGCCAAGTTGATTTAACAAATTTCTTTGCACAGCCTCGTTTTCTGTACTGACATTGACAGTTTGTTCACAGCTTTGGGTTGTGAGCATGGCCCACTAGAATGGCATCTCTTTATTGATTCATCAGATTCAAGCCTCAAGGCTGTCTTGTTACACAATGGCAATGTACACCCTTCCGTACCTATTGGCTATGCTACACACATGGAAGAAACATATGAAAACATGGAACTCTGGAAGCACATCCAGTACACCAAGTACAACTGGAATATCTGTGGAGAACTGAAAGTAGTGGCTCTGCTGCTTGGAATGCAGCTTGGATGTACCAAGTACTGTTGTTACATATGCAAATGGGACAGCTGTGCAAGAGAGTCACATTAACTTAAAAAGAAATGGTCATGCCGAAACAATTTGGTTCCAGGACAGAAGAAATGTGGCACATGAAGCACTTGTCCCAATAAAGATATTTTTGCCTCCACTTCACATAAAACTCAGACTGACGAAAATTTTTGCGAAAGCGATGAACAAGGAAGGTGAAGCTTTTTGTTATTCAAGACAGATTCTTTCCAAGAATAACTGATGCCAAGGTTAAGGAAGGCATGTTTATTGAACCACAGATCAGATACATCATCAGTGACAAGTGGTTCGAAGATGTGTTAGTGGGGCCAGAGAAAATTGCCTGGAAAGCATTCAAGGATGTGGTTGAGAATTTTCAGCTGGTTGACAAAAAGTCTTACAGCATACAAGACCATGAAATGCAACATATAACTGAAGATTTTCTGCATTCACACTTGGACTTCTTTCCCCAAAATCTAGGTGCAGTCAGTGACAAGCAAGGTGAAAGTTTTCACCAGGATATTGCTACAATGGAAAAACGGTATCAGGGTAACTGGTACCATCAATGCTGGTTGACTACTGTTGGAGACACTGCAGCGATATGCATCGGACACCAAGTACAAACGAAAATCAGCAACAAAACACTTTTAGCCCTGTTGAACTCATGCAGCGTGACGGAAACATTATGCAATACATTACAGTCATTAAATTTCATATTTTTCAAGATTCCTACATGATACAGTCATTCTAAAATTATATTTGTGTTCAGTTTGAAGAAGTTTGTCATGATCACCAAGAGTTTTTCAGGAAGCAAAACCTTTGAAAGAATTTGTTGTCCTTTGTATCTACTGAGAGAAAACGATGAGAAAATACTTTTTTCTTTTTTATAAAACAAAGGTTTGATTGGAATACTTCAATTTTGAATTTTTAAAATGTCTTTATACTTTTGGTTTTTTTAGCACACACACAGAGTACATGAGTATAGAGAACAAATACTCTTAGACTGTACTGCCCGCTGTATCCTTTGGATCTTCTACTGGACTCGAGCATTCTCTGGTGATGTGAAAAGACCACGTGGTAAATGATTTAGATTAAAAAAAAATGTTTAGATAAGCATCCTCAAATACCATCTATCACCTCATTTTTTCTTCTCATAGTAATAGGCTTAGTAAAGGGCCACATCCTGGACCCTGAGAAAAACAAACCTGTACTTAAACAGAATATTGGGAAATTATTTATTACATTTTTATGCCACCCATCTCCCCCATAAGGTGACTCTGGGCGGCATAATCTGCCAGTGGCATCCCCTGCTTAAGAGGCAGATATAGGAAATCATATGCAAAAAAACTGACAATAACCATGAAGGATAGCTGCAATATCATGATACATATACAGGTTGGAGTGTTTTTGCAACTATAGATCTGTGTACTTATATACCTGCAGTGTTGTAACATTTTGCTTAAAAGGTGATGAAGATGAACACTGTTCTTCAATTCACTTCTTTGAATAAGCTATGAAAATACTTCCTAGTTGTACTTCCAAGATTAATCTTTTTAAGCATGTCAGAATACATAGCACACACATACAAGAGCTGCTTTGTACTATATAATGTAGCTGCCTGAAGTAAATCTTAATTAAGCCCTATCCAGGATTGAGTTATACAGATAGTGAAAGCTGAGAATTAAGAGAAGGACAGGACAGGAAGGCAAAGAGATCCTACTATATGAATCCTTGAAGATCTGCACTGTTTCCACCAAATAATACAGTGAGGGGAAAAATTATTTGATCCCGATTTTTTACGTTTGCCCACTGACAAAGAAATGATCAGTCTGTAATTTTAATGGTAGGTTTATTTTAACAGTGAGAGACAGAATAACAACAACAAAAATCCAGAAAAACACATTTCAAAAAAGTTATAAATTGATTTGCATTTTAATGAGTGAAATAAGTATTTGATCCCCTATCAATCAGCAAGATTTCTGGCTCCCAGATGTCTTTTATACAGGTAACGAGCTGAGATTAGGAGCACTCTCTTAATCTCAGCTTGTTACCTGTTTAAAAGACACCTGTCCACAGAAGCAATCAATCAATCAGATTCCNGCAAATGGAAGAAACACAAAATAACTGTCAATCTCCCTCGGTCTGGGGCTCCGTGCAAGATCTCACCTCGAGGAGTTTCAATGATCATGAGAACGGTGAGGAATCAGCCCAGAACTACACGGGAGGATCTTGTCAATGATCTCAAGGCAGCTGGGACCATAGTCACCAAGAAAACAATTGGCAACACACTACGCCGTGAAGGACTGAAATCCTGCAGCGCCCGGAAGGTCCCCCTGCTCAAGAAGTTTGCCAATGAACATCTGAATGATTCAGAGGAGAACTGGGTGAAAGTGTTTGTAGAGATAGGGGCCAAGTAGAGGTCGTGAGCAGCAAACTGCCCTTCCAACACCTGCGTGCCTCTTTCTCTCTACATGATCTCATCCATTCACATCACCATGGCAATGTGGGAAACTACCCCAGGCTGGTACATGATATCACCTGGTTCACATGATATCAGCTAGGTTACATCAACAGGATGTGGTAGAAAACTGCTCCCTGTTTGGGGCCTCCTAGCTGGTATATTCTTAAGGATTGGCAAGGGGTTTCACCAATAGAAATGCTGTTGCTATGCTGATGCCATCTTACTTTATGCTATTTGGAATACCTGTATATAAGGCAATAAACACTGCAAAGGAGTCAGCCATATTTGCACCCTGCAATGACTGAGCACTGATTACTACAGCTGGCTGCTCGAACAGGGACGTTAGGGACCCCCACCGGGGAAGGAGCGGCAAGCAACATACTTACCATCGTCTGGAACAGACCCCTAAGTGCACTTTCGTCCTCTAGGACCCCTCAGTCTTAAGTATGGACCGCAAGTTATCTAAGCACCAGCAGAAACAGGCACAGGAACTCGGATTCCTGCTACATAAATCAGGCGTGACAGCGCCTGAGGTAGACATAAGGAAGCTGGTGGAGGATAGGGAAACACTGCCCTTGGTATCCTGAGCACGGGACGCTTAGGCTACGAGATTGAGAAAAGATAGGGCATACTTTACATCTTGAACCTCGGGCTCCAGTACAGATCTTACATCGATGGTATCAGTGCCGTCAAGCAGTGGAAAAATATGGCTCAGATGCTTCAGAAGGGCAGCAATTAACTACCAGCCCCCCTTCTGATTACAACCAAGTAAAACTTCTCCCTCCTAAAGCATCTTTAATTGGATCTCCAGCTCCTTCTGAAGATGCTAATTCTTTTGCTTCTTCCCAGACCTCCTACACCCCCACAAGGAAAATATTAGAGGAACAATCTCGAAGTAGAAAAAGATAATAAGGGGAATCGTCAGAGTAATTTAAAGACACAACTTAACTCAAAATGTACTCCTCTGCAATGTGTTTTGAACAATTGCAATGTTTTGAAACTTCATGTGGCTGTTAAGTTTAACCCTGTCAGACAATGTCTGGTGGTGCTTTGTGTTGATGTGTAGTGTGTTTTGTTTATATATATATATGTATGTATATATATATGTGTGTATGGCCACCCAGAACATTATGCTTGGGCTTGGAATGGTGAGAAAAATAGGAGATGGTTAAAGGGCCCTATAAAAACCACATTTGGTTGGAATCACCTCATGATTTTTCTCGCTTCTTGCAGGACAAGCCATATGTTTAAATAAATGTTGTTTTAACAGTATTTGTGTATATATGTTTGTCTGTGTTGTTCTGTGTTATTTCCAAGACTTGGAAGAGGGTCAAA